TATTAATAAAATTACTTACCTTATAGTAAAACCAAAAGAACAAGTAATTTGAGAAGAAACTCAATTAAAAGACTGAAGTTACAGAGACGTGGAAATTTTGACAAATGAACCAAAAACAATGTTCATACTCTGATGAAACGGTCTGAAGCATTAAGATATTCAAGCACAGACCAAAAGATTCCTATGGAAAAATACAAAATCATCTGAAAGAAAACAAACCTCTAAATGCCGAGGAAGAACACTACCCAGGAGATCTATGGGAACTTTCTCAAGTGCTTCAGGTTGTACCGCGTGAATGGTGACTGAGAAAATCTTGCAAGCAATACCCCATGCTTTGCTCCAATCCAAGTGTTCTTCATCAACAAGCACTCTCATTACCTCAGCAATGGCAATTGACGGATGTGTATCATTTATCTGAAGAGCAACCTGAAGGGAAAAACTCGAAAGAATAAATTAGCAGATAGTCCATGAGTATTTGGATGTAAAATAAAACCAAGCTTAATATTCCCTATTCCTTTGGAGATCCTAATCTCTTGCATAAATCATCAAAATACGGCATTTTTATGAATCACAGAGAGTAGGCCAGCTCAGATTAAGTGTGGCCAACCCAATGTCGACATTCTTTTGCACTGTATCGACTTTGTTTTGGATTTCTAGAACGTGAAACATGCAACTGTTTTAGGGATCATGCCCTAATAAATGAGGCTTATGTTTCATGCTACTCCTTTCATATTGACACAAAGTAACCGAAGTCTGTTAACAAACTTTGCTAAGTCTATGCTGAATAACTTATTTGATTAATAGCATTTCAGGCCAAAATGATCAGTAGTGCAATGAGGAAACAAATATTTGTTAATCTATGATAAGAAAACAAATGCAAGGAGCACGTGACTTGAGCCCATTGTCTGATAAATGCATGAGTTACAGACCCCAAAAATGCCCATAATACCTTCTCTGGAAACTCATCAAAGTTATTATGTAAATCCTTAAACCTCCTTATTATGTCTTGTAGTGATGCTGAAACAAAGAAATACTGTTGCTTCAACCGCAGTTCCTTACCCTGAAGAAAGAACATCAAAGAAAGTTATGGAATATGCAAATCAAAATGGTCAGAGTACACATAAGGAAGACAAAAAAGGAAGAAAACCCAAAAGTAGTATCCTGCAGAACATATAATTTGATAAAGAAGGATACCAATTAGCATCTAAAAGACTAAAACCAATTACGAGTAAACTTCAATTCACTATCTCTGTTGATAATTATCTGTTCTATTTGCATCTATAAACGGCATCTTCCTCATCATCATCTCGTACTGTTCTTACTTCATTCAATATCATTTGTAGGCGCAAAGTTGTTCTTACTTCATTCAATATAATTTGTAGGCATAAAGTTATGGTACTGTTATACTGTACAGTATACCCATTATTAATTGAGATTATATGAAATACTAGCCACTCTTAATGCTTGGGAATGAAATGGCTTCTCCCAGTAATTGAGGCCCCTTCCCAGCCTCCAAGAAACTAAAGGAACTCTACATTTACGCGCTTTTTCAAGACACTATATAGAATGGAAATACCTGGTAAGAACGGTCATCAGGATACAGCACATTACTTATGGTTTCAGCCTTCTGTCTGTTAACAATAGCATTAATATAGTCTCCAGTGGTGTAAGACTCCTGCAAGTGATGAAATGGGTACTATGTAGAAGTTAAGAGATAGTCAGATGTCAAAGTACACATTAAGACATATTCTTAAGAAACTAAAAGGGTTCTGATCTGTGCAACACTAGGTGCGATATTCACATTTGACAAAAGAAGAAAGTGACTAACTACCACAATCCAGTCAGAGAAAAGAAACTGGAATAAATTGATTATGAAGTCTATCCCTTTGTCAGTCCCTCCCACAGAAAAACATATAATAAGAAGGAAAAGCCACATGGTGAAAGAGAGACCACTGGTACAGAAAAAGAAGTCCATAGATTCTTAAAATGACCAGATTATTTAAGAGTATACAGATAGACCTCTGCTGCATCCCGACAAGACCTCGTCAGAAACATTTACTAGCCAACATTGTCAAAGGTTACCATATCATATTGATCACTTGGTTTAGCAGCCCAAAGTCGTAGGTTGATGGCATTTCGCGTTCCATAACCAGGTATTGGATTATCATAAGCCACTGCTTCAACCTACAAGTAAACGAACACGCTAGTCATTCGGCAATATTACATGCAATAAGTCTAAATTTCTAGAAAAAATGACTAATTAAATACAGGAGCACTTACTGATTCTGCAGGTATCCAAACTCTACATGTCTTTCCATTTAAAACTTCCTCTTCAACAGTCCCATAGAACTTGCATACAAAGTAAATTGCCAGTTAGCAACGTGTAGAAGTTTCACTCAAGAAAATTGAAGAAGATAACATCATATGCACCCCAAACTAAAACAACAAAAGAAAACATCTCATTTGGATAAATTACTGACAAAGATGGAAAATTAAATACTTTCAAACCTTGACTGGATAAGACACATGAACACGTTCAATCTCCCAGGGGTTCCCAAAGTTCAACCAAAAATCAGGTTGTTCATGTTGAAAACCATCCACTATGATCTGACGAAATAATCCATATTGATAGCGTAGTCCATAACTGAAGACAAAGAAATGTAGAGGATCCAACTCAGTTGACTTTCTTTAGATAAACTTCACGATGATAAAGGGCAAAATCTTTGAAGAAAAGCGAGACACCATTTTTCAGATCGTAGAATTTCAATTTCACATAGGGAACTCAGTAAATCCAAATCAAAGATCATTTTGGGTTCGAAATCATAACATCATTTTGATTGAAAAGAAAAGGATTGAAAGAACAATACGAAAAATCTGATCTTAGTATTACATGGGTGACTATCATCTCGATGCAAAAATGCAGCCATGAAGCAGGATGTTATTCATAAATAGGGAAAACCCCAATTCTTCTTGACTGTTTCTACTGTTCAGGAAAAAGTGAGGGGATTCAAAACCTAAGGCCGTGAAGAAGCGAACAATATCAGGAGCAAATGATGTTTAGACAATGAAAAAAGGAGCCTAAACAATACCCCCAAGCTGGGTAGTCCAATGTCGCTAGGGAATCCATTTGGCAAGCTGCAAGGCGAGCTAGGCCACCATTACCAAGGGCAGCATCTCCTTCCTAGAAATGAATGAACGTTAGAAACAAAATCACCAAGGATAACTTATTTAGGGGAGCAACAGAACAGCTAACTGTGAGTAAAGACGAAGATCGAGAAGAAGTTACTCAATTGTAAATGCAAGCGTTCTTCAAAATTAGATCGATTGCCAGAATAATTACCAGTGCTTAAGGATGAATGAGCATCAACAATATTTCATTAATTGTGCAATGCCGCGTCTATCAATAAACTTGTCCTATGAATTCGGAATTATTGCATCTTCATTTGCAAGCATTAGCCTATCAAGTCCTTTAAATGCTACTCCCTCTATTCCATTTTAGGGGACACAATTATTTAAATTTCACATTTTACCTTGATGACATCATTTTACAGATATGTCATGATATGCTTAAGACCACAATGTATACAAGTTTTTAGGTCCTTCTTAATCTCCGTACCAATGAAACACCTTAACATAAAATGAAATGGATGGAGTAGTAAATATTCTAGATTAACTTAAATTAGTATGGAAGTTCAAATGATCCAATGTAACCACTAAAACACTCATTATTTTTTAGTTTGAGAAATGATACAGGCAAAAAGGAAGAAGCTATAGAGAACCCGAAACAGCCATCAAGAATTGTCCAACCTGCTCTGCCAAGACTTCATAGTCAAACCCAAGCTGACTTAAAGCATCGGCATATTGGTCCTGGATGCCAAGGTTTATGACACTGTTAGTTAGAGAACGACCTGACAGATCAAGTAAAAAAGAAAAACTTAATTAGACAAAACTAAGAGCACTTCACTTTCAGGAAAACCATAAAGACTTCTCTTAACAAGTAAGTACTTGTTTCAGGAAGGTGCCCCAATTAGATGCAGCAAAGAAAAGGACTCTATGAGCATGTGAATGTCAAGTACCCATAAGAAACTCAAGCGAAAGGAAGTACAGTCGCTTGGGGTCTTTCTTCTTAAAATACTGGTGAGTATCATGCCATCGTTCAATAAGCCGATCCCTGACACTATGCGCCAATGCCTGCATTGTGCAAACTTCATTAGTAACATGCTAAAAGTTACTCCTCCATCTGTCTCATTTTATGTGGAACACTTCCCATTTCAGTTTGTCCCTAACATAATGGCACCTTTCTATATTGAGAAACAATGTCTAAGGCTTGTCTAATACACAAGTTTCGAAGTCTAACTTCTTTCTTAAACTCCATGCACAGTCAAATAATGCCAAATAAATCGGTAAATGGGAGTACCTGGTAAGCTTCAAAATCATCAAAATTGAATCTTGATCGAGCAACAGTAAATTCAACATGATCAAGAATATCTTTTTGCAAACTAACTGCATCATTCTTCAAGAACCCATCCATTAACCCAAACATCTTCTCTGCTTTTGCTTTCCTCTCTCCTAAGTTCAACCCAGCTTTCCTCACAACCACTCCTCTCCCACTAACCACCGCCACCGACGGCGATACTCTGCCAGTATCAATGGCTTCCATTAAAGCCTTCTGAATCTTCTCCAAATGTTCCGTTTTCTCAATCTTCTTACCGTTAGAATCACTGACGAAAAACTTCTTCACGAAAAACTCACCTTCGAATTCAACAATGGCCTTTTGAATTGTGAGCCCGAGGACTTTGAATACGCGGGTGATGATTTGGAGAAGGCCAATTCGGTTCTTGGCCCGAATAACGAAAAGAGTGGTGTCCAAAGCGTCGTCGTTTTGGACATTGATGGTAGAGTAATCAGAGGTTGTTGTTTCGGTGATGGCTTGGTTAGAAAAAGTACTACTATTTGAGACTGTTAAATGGTTGAAGCTGCAATTGGAGGAGAGTGAAGTTGAAAAGGGACGGTTGAGATTAAAGAATGAAGGGAATGGGCGGTTGGTTTGAGGTGATCGAAGGGTGAGGAGAGGAACTGAAATGGCAGCCATTGCTGTACAGTCATAGAAGAAGGTTGGAGGTTTATGGAACTCAACTGCACTAGTAATACATCACGGAAAAAGAATCACGGGAAAAGGTGGACAACTTTCTATAATTGGTTTACTGAATATGGTTTGACTCTGAAAGTCTGAACTTCGATATCTGAATATAAAAATGGGCAAAATACCTGAGAATTACAACCTTCTTTCCTTTAAACCTCATCATAATAATTATTATTATTATAATTTCTCTTCCCAATTTCTCAATGGATGTGACATAGTTCCTTTTTTATGTATCCCAAAAAATATTACTCCTATTTTTTATATTTAAAAATAATTTAATTTTAATATTAAATGTTTACCCTTAATGAGATAATTGGTAATCATACAAATATCCACGACTTCTTTTATATCGGGTATTTTAAAAGTTTTTATTTTTTCATAAATTCTAAATTTTGTGCCTAGTCCATATAAACCTTCTATTTATATCTTCTATTTATATATAAAAGGAGAAGCAAAAGCATGTAATAATGCCAAGTGGCATAATCACAATTAAATTAAACAAGTGTTATTTTTTTTTGGACACATCTCCAATAAAGTTGGAGTTTAAAATTATTTGAAACTAAAAATAGGCAAAAAAGATTCAACCTTACGAATTCACAAAAAAAGATTGATAATGCCTGCCATATTGGGCAGTTATTTTATTTAGCGCAATTATTTTATTTATTTACAAGACTTGAAAATTAAGAAAAATTTAAAATATTTCCCTTTTGAAAAGGCACAGAAAGATATATTGACAAAAATGGATACTTCTCACATATGACAGTTATTTTATTTACTTATTCAACTCGGCAATTATATTAAGAAAATATAAATACTTCCTGGAATTGGCCGTTTTTTTACAAAGAATAGTCGTGAGGATAAGCCATGACTCATCATCTTCCCAAACGTGGGGTTCAACAATAATTCTAAACTAACTCAAACAGTCGGAGAATCACCCACGATTTATGTGATTTCATATGTTAACTTCTTTTTTCAATCCCTATTTTCTTCGCTCAGTACTACAATAACTTTGCAAATATGGCTACAACCACACAAATTTCAAGCATCGATGCAATTGAATCTAATTTGGAGTTTTCAAATGTGAAAAATCCGAATCGTTTCAAGTCTGAAATGTCATATTCCATAGAGTTAGATTTTACCCAATGCATAGGTAACATTCTACTTTCACATAGTTTTTATGTGAATCCTTTCTCTGCTGCTTTAATGGATAATTTTTTTACAATCCTCAAGTACATAAAATTGTACTAATGAAACGATTATATGTAGTCCTCTTCTATGCTACTTTAATGGATAAATTTTTCACAATCTTCAAATATATGAAATTGTACTAATGAAACGAGTATGTATGCTACCAATATTTCTCTTTCTGTTTCTGAAAGTAGGATTCACCGTTGTGTTCCAATTTGTATGTATATGAAATTTATCAGCAATATGATATATATGAATCTACCTTTCTAAGGAGTATGTTATTAGGATGAAGAAAAAATACAGAAAAATCAATATTTTTTCCAGTATTGTTGAAGTACTTGCTAAGACTGATATGATATTTCGTATATTCCCCATAACTTCAAGGGTCTACGAAATTGCTCCATTTCCAATTTTACATAAACAATTATGTATAGTATACGTATCTAACTTTCTGTTTCTGAAAGTTGGATTCACAATTATGCACTAATTCCAACGTAAATATTGATCTACATTCATATTTTAAAAACTAATTCTTAAATTAGTACTTAGTTGACTCTTTCAGTTAATTTTTTTATGCAACATGTTAGTTATTTGAATTAATCGAATGTTGAATAAATGTATTGGTGAAGCTAAAATTTATACGAGATACTTCTATAGTCGTAAACTCATAGTTAGGAGATTCTTTTTAAGTAGTTGCGTGTAATTAATAAGGTTCTATATATTTGCACTATAGAAGAACTGATATTGTCTGCTCCTAGAATACAAAATCTAATTCTATTCCTTCCCTTGTTAGTTCTGCTTGCTATTTTCTGACAATAATCATCAGAGGAACTATCCATGAAACTTCAGAAAGTTAATGCATATTGTGTTCAAAAGCTACAAAAGTGTTGCAGTTGTTAAGAAGCAAATTTATAGGAGGAGTTTTTGGTGTTAATAAAGGAGTTTTTACTGCTTTGTGAACTGGTTTTATGGAGTTTTCAGGTGGTCTTTTACATGGCTAATCTGGGGTCATTCTTGTGGTGGTTTGATGGGGTTTAAGGGTCATTTTAATGGAGGTTTAGAAGTAATTCATGGCTGGTTTATTGCAGCAGTTATGGTGGCTTTAGAGGTGGTTTTTATGGGGTTTATGCGACTTTTTGGACTATTTCTTGGAGCTTTTCGCTGCGTTTTTTGTCAGATTTTCATGGTTGATTTGGCAGCAACTATGGAGATTGACTTTTTTCAGAAAACAGGTTCAACTAACTTTAACATATGAATTAAGAAAGACAAATACTTCTTAGAACATCTCTTATCTCAGACATAGCTTATGTTATGCACATTAGACTTACTACAAAAAGTAATAATAACATGAGAGTTCCATAAAACTACTTTTGGTATGTATATGCGCCTAAAGTGTAACAAGCTTTAACTGCAAATTCTCCAACATTTCATTTGTTGAAGAGCAAAAAGATCCAGATTACTTTTCTAGCTAATGTAACATACCTAAACTATGTTAAGTGCATACTAGAGACCACCTTTGAGCTAACCAAAGCAGATAATAGAACGAAAAAGAGAAAAAACTTACTCACACCTGATGTTTATACCAGATTATATTAGTTTATCAAGGATGGATGTCAGAATACATACTACTCCTTAACTATAGTTAGTGATAGATGCATATATTACCGACAATTATTTATGTGGAATGTGTCTGACTATGTAATTGGTGCAATTTTCCATCCAAATACTTTGTTGCTAGAGAAAATTTTAGTTTGGATGACTCTTCCTCCTAATTACATGTATTTTTTGCAGCTATTGTTGGGCTATTTGCCAATTGAGAACACGTTATATGTGATGGAATTGGCTAAAAAGAGGTCTCAATACAAGCATTTTAAAGAGGATTTTTTGATGAATCTTGTAAGTTTTTATTCCCAATGCAGTGATTATTGGCTAAGTTTATGTCGTCAAACTTATTAATATTATTGTTACTGATATCTAAATTGTTGGTGCTCCTGTTCATTGCTATTTGAAGAAGATGCTTTGCTAATTTGGTGTGGCGAGACTCATGAAGCATATAGAGACAGAGCTTTGTGGATATGAAATACATTGAGAGCTGGCATAACATTTGTATTATTACAATCGTTTATCGTCAAATATTGAATTTATTTTTAAAAAAATTACATTTAATTTAAGTTTCTTATGCTCATTGTCTAACTATTGTGTTGTATATGTAATATTCTATAAAGTTGAGATGTTTTAGATTAGTAAGAATGTAGCAAGGGATATCATTAATCATAAATCGCTTCGACAATCAAACATAATTCACTTCAACAAGGCAATTTTGTGAGGTTATATGTTGTTTATTTTTATGGCCCTTGTGTATTTATGTTAGTATATTTTGACAATGGCAACAAAAAGCTAAGGAATTGCTATCCTAACTAATGTTCATTTTCTTTGTGGAATACAGGTGATAATAATTCCCACTCATCTTGCTACTTTTATGGAATATGCAGATGGGGGAAAACTATTTGTGCACATCTGCTATGCGGAAAGGTTTAGTGAGAATGAGGTAGATTTAAATATCTTTATTTTGTTAGTAGTCAATTTTCACCTTGACTACCATTATGGACGATAATGAAATGGTAATGGAGGCACTTTGTCACAATTCTATTATTTTAAAATGCCAGCTTTCATGTTTTTAAAAGCATTGGTTCCATATCTGCAATACTTCTCTCATTGTGGTTTTTAGTTATTTTCATTTCAGACTAGAAACTTCTTCCAGAATTTTATTTTAGGAATCCAATACTATCATAACATGGTGAGAAACTTACAAGATTCGACAAACAAAAACAAAAGATTGTGGATGCATGTTTTTTTTTAAGATATATCATAGACATGGACTAATCTTTATAAATTTTATCCTAAATACCATCTTTTTAATTTAAGGGATCTTATTCTTCTTCAAACTTCAAGTGCCTGCGCGGCAAAATTTTGAAATTGGACGATACACTTTTTGATGAAAGTGCAGCTCCACAATTGAAGATATGTTATTTTGAATACTCAAAGGTTGATGATGTTATGATTATTTGTATAGACTTATAGTTGCTTCTATTTTGTGACTGTAAAATATGAATACGAAGAAAAAAAATCAACCTCAAATGTTATAGTTTTTTTTCGAACTTTCCACCTTACCTAACACTAAAAAGCTCCTCTCACCAAAGTGACATAACAACTTCACAGATTACATTCTTATACTTCATTAATCTACTAGCAATTGACCTGCAACACAATCTAAGAATATTCTTCTTTAATATATATTTGCTTTTATTGATTTTGCAGCTTTCTTGTAGAAACTTAGTCCAAAATTCAGTTCTACATTTAGAAAAAATATCAGAAGTCGAATTTTGCGCAGAAACTGTTGCATGATCTTAGGCTTTGTAAAGAAAAGGAGGTTGCTGCTCAAAATTTAACCAATTCATACTTAAAGGTAAATTAATGAAATGCTAATACATAATATTCTACATTTTACATCTTAAGATATCATGATTGAATTATGCATGAGAATAAATAGAATCAAGATAGTCGACGTCCGGAGTTTAATAATAAAATAATACCTTGTATTTTTTGAATGAAATGTGTTGACCTGTATGATAATTATATTGTAACAAGGAATTAGTACGTAGTTTTAGCCTGAGTTACTGGTGATAATTCCTCAGTTACATAAGTAATTACATCTTCTTATTATACTCTCCCCTTCTTTGCCTAAGAATAAGCTTTTTATTAATTGTTATTATTAGGAACCTAAAAACTATTTGTTATCATTTCAATGGGCCACTGTTTGATCATGTGGGTGGTACTTTAAGTTATGTTGGTTGTGACATATCCTTTTGCATAACAGCAGGATCTAAAAAACTATTCAAATGAGTTTTTTATATATATTC